GTTGGCGGGGAGTAAGGGGGGGGGGGGAATTCAAGGTGGGGCAGAGTGGAGGCCTCCTCAAAGTGGTGCCTCGTTGCATGTGACTGCTCAAAGAATATCACAATAAACAATTTAATTCCAATTAAAAAAATAAGTGCAGATATGATGAAAATGACATTGATCAAAAACACATTTACTAATACCAAACTGCCAAAATGTATTAATACCCACCGATTGACTCTGGGAACTTTATGTGTCTAAGGAAGGTCCCAGAGCCAGTCCCCATAAATAGCCTTTTGGCTGTTTTTGATGGCCATGGCTCCACGCTTGCTGCCAGGTACTTCTGCCCCTCTGTCCTGTGATGGCTCTGCCACTGGTGCAGGCACATGTGATGGGCCTAGCTGCTCATCATCATCCAGATCCTGCTCCTCATTCTCCACCTGCTGCTGCTCTCCTCTGCCAACTGTTTTTGGCCTCCGTTTTGCTGCCCTGAAAAAACACAAAAAAAGCTTAATCATGTAACTTTGTCAGTAGGGTCAGGCAATTTAATTCACTCACCTCACTAACCTTAGAGACCCTCTGGCCCTCTCTCCACAGATGGCTCTGCCACTGGTGCAGACACTCTTGAAGGGCCTGGCTGCTCATCATCATAGTTGGCGTCGTCCACCACCTGCTGGTACTTCTGCCCCCTTCTCCTGTGATGGCTCTGCCACTGGTGCACACTCTTGAAGGGCCTGGCTGCTCATCAGCGTCATTCTGCTCCTCCCCCTGCTGGTGCTGCTGCTGGTCCACATGTCCAAAATGTAGTAATACCCACCGATCGACTCTGGGAACTTGATGTGCCTGAGGAAGGTCCCTTTGCCAGTCCCCCATAAAGAACCTTTTGGCTGTTGCTGCTGTTTATGATGATGCTGCTGCACTTCCTGCCCCTCTCTCCTGTGATGGTGCAGACACTTTTGAAGGGCCTGGCTGCTCATCATCGTCATCCTGCTGGTCCACCACCTGCTGGTGCTCCTCTTGATCCTTGTGCTCATACTGTTGGTGCTGATGCTGCTGCTGCTCCTGAAGGGCCTGGCTGCTCAGAGTCATCCCGGTCCTCCTCCTGCTGGTGCTGTTGTTGCTGATGCTGCTCCCCCTGCTGGCTGCTGCTGCTGGTCCACCTGTTGGTCCAAATGTCCAAAATGTAGTAATACCCACCGATCGACTCTGGGAACTTGATGTGCCTGAGGAAGGTCCCTTTGCCAGTCCCCATAAATCCCATAAATAACCTTTTGGCTCTCTTTGATAGCCATGGCTCCACGCTGGCTGCCAGGTACTTCTGCCCCTCTCTCCGCTCCCCCTGCTCCTCTTGTTCATGCTGTTGGTGCTGCTGCAGACACCTTTGAAGGGCCTGGCTGATCATCATTATCGTTGGTGTTTTCCTCCACCTGCTGGTCCTAATGTAGTAATACCCACCGATCGACTCTGGAAATTTGATGTGCCTGAGGAAGGTCCCTTTGCCAGTCCCCATAAATAACCTTTTGGCTGTCTTTGATAGCCATTGTGCCACGCTGGCTGCCAGGTACTTCTGTCCCTCTCTCCTGTGATGGCTCTGCCAATGGTGCAGGCACATATGAAGGGCCTGGCTGCTCATCATCATCCAGATCCTGCTCCTGCTGGTCCACCTACTGCTCCTCGTGCTGCTGCTCCTTTGACAACTGTTTTGGCCTCAGGATTTTCTGCCAGCAGAAACAGCTGAATCCTGATTTCTTCAGCCAGAAGCTCCGTGTCGCTACACTGTGTGCATCGGAGTGCCACAGTATTTATGCCACAAGTAGATAGCTTTAGTGACAATGGCATCTGTGTTTTCCTGTGGTATAATCTGTTGTTTTGAACCACGTGGCCGTTCTTTAGGGGAATTCTCCATGGCCTTCTTTAGGTGTTTCGCCATGTAGCAGCCTGGTGCTGTTGTAATTACACCCCATGACTGACGCCTTATATTCACCCTGTTATTCACTGGCGTTTGATCAGGAATGACACTCTGTCCGTGGTGTTAGTGTTTATATTATTGTTTATAGTTTTTTGTGTTGTTTTTATATTTGTTTTGATATGTTAAGTGCTTTGGTCAGCTGTGCTGTGGTAAAGCGCTATATAAATAAAGTTGAGTTGAGTTGTTGCTCTGTTGTGTTGCGAACCATGTGGCTGTTCTTTGGGGATTTTCTTCATGGCCTTCTTTAGGTGTTTTTAGGTGCATTTTAACATTCAGCATGTAACAAAATTCCATATTTCCCTTGTCATGTTGTATTTAATAAAATGAATCCATGAAGTCATTTATCCCACTGTATCTTTCCTCATACATTTCATCACTGTAAGTGGGTTGTAAAAGGTTTAGGACAACAGTAAGGCAAACCTATATTCCTTGTCTTACCTAGTGACCTTTCATATGTTTTGGGGTGTTAGGTTATTTCTTAGTTAGATAGATATTCAGAGATTTGTTGTCTAGAAATGTTTAGTGGAGACAGGATGTCTAGCTCAGGCTGTTAACTGCTCAGTTTAATTTCATGTGCTTGCAGACTGCATTTGCAGGCAAAGAGTTGTTAGTATTAACTGTAATGCTAATCTTAATAT